TTTTTTTTTTTTTTTTTTTTTTTTTTTTTTTAATGTATCAGGCTCTGTTTTATTTATTTATTTATTTATTTTTAAATTTTAGTTTTGTTTAAAATATTACAGATGTCCCCTTTTCTCCCCAATGACCCTTTCCACCCTGTCCCTTCCCCCACCCCAGTCCCTCTCCCCACCATTGTCCGTGTCCTTGGGCTGTGCATATATGCATATAAATTCTTTGGTTACTCTCTCCCCCTCCACCCACCCGCCCTCCTCCATCCCTCTGACATTCATCAGTCTCATTCTGTCTTTTTAAAAAAAATATGATTTTATTGATTTCAGAGAGTGAAGAAGGGAGAGGGAGAGAGAGATAGAAACATCAATGATAAGAGTCATTGATCAGCTGCCTCTTACACACCCCCAACTGGGAATCAAGCCCGAAACCTGGGCACGTGCCCTGACCAGGAATCAAACAGCAATCTCCTGGATCATAGGTCAATGCTCAATCTCCTGGATCATAGGTCAATGCTCAATCTCCTGGATCATAGGTCAATGCTCAACCTCTGAGCCATGCCAGCTGGGCTGTTTTTATTTTTTAAGTAAAATAGGCAGTAGAAAAGGAAGATACTCTGGAGGAACCTGAAACTGTCCTCCTGTGCTATGTAGCACATATGAGGAAATTGTGGTCAGAGTTACCAAGAAACAGCAGATTTAGAGCCTGTCTGAGGCCCAGGCATCTTGACACTTTTCATTCATTCTTTTCAGTTCCTGCTACTGTTTTGGCCTTCCAGTTTATAATGCCTGAGAAGCTTGGAGGGACTCTGTTTTCATCCAAATTGCCCTAATAAAACTATCAAAGAAATACAGAGCAGGAACTCTCAAACTTTAGTATGCCTAGCAATCACTTAGACCCCATCCTAAAATAATTCAGAGGTTCTGTGATCCACCTGGTCTAGGGAGGTGCTCAGGAATCTGAATCATTACAAGCACCCTAAGTGTTTTGAGACTTTGTCCTGGGGCTAGAAAGGGCCACAAAACATGTTTTTTAATCATTTATAATTCCACCCAGAGGTGGTTGCTGTTAACATATTGATGTATTTCAATCTGTCTAGGTATATGTGTATGTGTCTTTCTATTTATCTATCAAATTATTTAAATTCATATATTTTTTCAGTTAACATTATACACGAGCAATTTCCCAAGCTGTCTTCATAAAGACCATTTTAATTAATAGTCCACTGTTCAGAATTGCATAGAATGTAAGGATTCATTTAGTCACCCCCTAAATGTTGGCCGTTTGGATTGTTTCTTCCCTTTTTTGCTTTTAATGTTTTTTGAACAGAAATCTGTGTTTTGTTTTCCAGCTACTTTCTTAATATAGATTTATAGAAAGGAAATTACATTTTCAACAAGGGTTCTAGAAGAGAATTAAGCGGTAATGGATGCCTATGGCATCCATCGTATTCAATGAATTACCATCTCCCTTCTGCCTCTACAGTGGTACTAGTCACTACCATCCTTGAGAGAGCTGAAAACAGTCACACATTATTTTCTGTGTTCTGTGATTCACACGAAGAACCCTGGTTGAGAAAGTGAACATTTTTAAGGTTCTTGACACTTATTGCAAATGGCTTTCTAAAGTAATTTCTTGAGTAAGTACTGTTAGTACCAAGCAGTTGATTCTTGGTAATTCCTGGTAGTGTGGCTATTATTTTTCAAATATATTATAGATTACTCCTAACAACTGAATTGTTTCTTCTTGAAAGGTAGGAAGTATGGCTTGATCATAGCATGATTATAAAGTAATAAGATTAATTTTGACATGTGGATTGTGAAATTGGCTTCATTATTTAATAGCCACTCTTGAGACTTTGTAACAATAAATATTCACTGGTTATTTTATCCATGGAAGAATTGCAACAATGAGAAGTAATGTGGTTTGTCTAAAGTCACAATAAGAGTGAGGGTCATAGCTAAGGGCAGAGATCATCAGGTCATGTAACTATAGATCTGATCTCCATTTTTAAGGCCACACAAAGCTCCATGGAAGAAGAAAAAAAAAAAAATTAATGCAGAACTTACCTGGTAGCAGTTTTCCAGTGTGTTTTCCCATTTCAGTCTGGTAGAACAGCCAGCTATGTTTTTTTGGTAGTAATTTTCATCTTCTTTTGTCAACTTCTCAGTCGATTTTTTCAATTTATTGAGGAGCTAAAATAAAGCATCAGAGTCACATATTCATTAACACATTTATGAAAGCCCTTTGTAATTCCACATAATTTCATTCATCCCAATGATATACTTCTCATCTCCCAGCTAAAGTCATAAAGAGTAGCTATAAATGACAAAATAAGGGATGTTGGAGCTGAAAGGAACCAAAGGACCCTGCAGTGTAATTCCTTCAATTTTTTATATGAGAAAATTGAGGTCCTTAAATATGATGTGATCTGTCACATTCACCAAATCCAGGAGGAGGCCAAATGACAGGTGAGGAGAAGCAATCAGGAGCCTCCAACTCAAGACTACAATCTTCTAACAATTCCTGTGGTCTTATCTGGTAAATTCCTTAAGCCCTGGCATTTCTTACCAGGGCAGTTATATGTGCAGTCATATAACATTTAGAACTAAGATTAGGCCTGGCTATCATCCAGTAAGGCCCAATAACCTTACTTTACTTTTGCTATATAAACTCTGCAGTATAACTTTAAAATCAAACTTCAGCATTAGAGTCCTGCAGGTGAATTACTTAACCTTCATGAGCCAGTTTTCTTATGGTTCACCGGGTTGCTTTGAGGATTCAAGCAGGCGATGCTGGTAAGGCAGGTGGCACACTGCCCGAGACCTGGGACGGCACTCAGTGTTGCTATTGCTAGTGAAGAGCCTGAGCTAGACACATGCCAATGTTCATGGCAAGTTGTGGACAGCTTGACATATGCCTTCCTTTTATCCTACTTCCCAGTGATTTGCTCCTTCACAAAGAGTTCCCTCTTGCCAATCCCCAGGATGGACCATTCTGATTGTGAAATCTTCCGGAAAATCAAAGTAATATAAAACTCTCTGAACCAAGGTAGCTGAAATTGATTCTCAAAATACTCAGACAAGTAATGTCACATCTCTGAGAATGGAAGTTGTATTACATTGAATGATTCTCAAACTTTAATATACCTAGGAATGACCTGGGATGATTGTAAAACTGCAGATTTTCAGGGTCCCACAGTAGCCATGCTGATTCAGTAGCTCTGCAGTGGGATCAGGAAATCTGAAAGTTCACTACCTCCTCCGGGGATTCTGATGCAAATGCTCCTCAAGCCACAGTGTAAGGAGTGCTAAGGATCCCTCTGACTTAAAGCAGTTTAGAAGTTTCAAGGACACAGACAAAGGCTTTTAAGAATGACCCTTTTTATGTTTAAGGACAGTTTGACTAATGATTCAGTAATGAAGAACATTCATCCAAAATTCTGAATATTAACACCACTCGCTTTATTATTCCAATTGCTATACTAGCCGTTCAACTGTCCTTCGGCTCTGATGTATGACTTACACAGGACACATTGGGTCTTGTATATCAAGTATAATGGACCACATTTATCTATAGAAACATGAGCTTGTGAATTTTAATCCGAAAACAATATAGTGAAAGGGCCAAAAGGGTACCATGGTGATACTTTGCGAAATCATGTCCTTAGATTCTTATCGAGGATACTCAGACCTCCAGCAATGAGAACAAAGTTACTTTTGAGATGACCATTCACATTCATCAGTCTGCACTATATAGCTATGAACTAAAAGTTTCTGCTCAGTAAATTTACAGCAAATAATCTCAAAATAATGTAAAAGAAGAATGTAGACTCTTATATTCTTATTTAAGGAACTTTTCAGAAAACTTCACTGAACATCAAGAGACGAATTTGTCAGTTACAATAATTGAAGCAATGATGGTGGTGGCCTGGAAGAGAGTAGCGGCAGTAAAGATAAATACAAGTATGTAGATAAATGTAAAAAGTATTTGGTTTAGGAGTTAGAATTGGGAGGATATGGGGAATGATGATATTCAATGATACAGAAAAAACAAGAATAAATAATATTTTTGGCAGAGGGAAGTGATAGTTCTCATTTTGGATACTGAGTTTGATATGCTAGAAAGCAGTTTAGAAACTGGTTTGGGCTGCAGATATAAATGTGGGTATTGTCAGCATAGATATTCTAGCTGAAGCTGTGAGAGTATATTTATTGAGTACCAGTTACTTCTTGAGTACCTGATATTGAGAGTACTGAGTTGCACACTGAGATACCATGCTGAATAAAACAGAATGAGGCCCAGGAGAGGAACCATCAGGAACAGCAGTATATAAAAAGGCAGAAGAAGGGAAGTAGTTAAAGAAGTTTAAGAAAAAATGGCCAGAAAAAAAATGAAAAGAGTAAAATGTTGCTCAAGTGAAAAGAAGAGACTGTTTCTGGAATGGGGAAGTCATCAATGCTTAATGCTTCCAAGTTAAACAAGGTAAGAACTGGAAAGTACCCATTGGCTTCAGCAATAGGGATGACATTGTTTTCTATGTCAAAAGCATTCTCGGTTCAATGGTGGGGAAAGCCAATTGGGGTGGTTTGAGGAATGAACCGGAGATGAAGTGAAGACACAGAACAGAGAACTCTTTCAATAAATCCTAGTGTAAAAAGGAGAGATAATAATATCTGGAGAGGAACAGGACTAGGGCCATGAAGAGGTGTCTCCCTGGCTCTCCCAAGATGTGGGGAGTTGAGAAGGCTGATGGGAAGGAACTGTTGGAGAGGGTCATGCCCAAGATAGAGGGGAAAAGGGAGTAACCAAGAGAAGCATGTCGGAGAGAGAGGACGGGATGGAAACAGAGCACCTGGAGAATGGGCCTGTCCCACTGCACACGTGACTTTAGCAGGCAGGTGACTGTGCTGCTGTTTGTTACTCTGTGAGCTAGGAGGCAAGATCGTCTGCTGAGAGTGGGTGGTGACGATGGAGGTGCAAGGACAATGGAGATTTAGATCAGCTTCTGGTGGGAACAAGGACTGCTGAGCAGGAAAAGAGGAAGAATTGCTGAGCAGCATAGAAGCGGCTCAGCTCAGGCTGGAGATCGGGGCCAGTTCTGTGCGAGATGAGACAATGAATGCTGCCTTAGCTGTGTGGCTTTAGGACTAAAAACAACAACAACAAAAAAGGCTAACAGATAAAGCGACGAAGACGGTGGCGGTCTGTGATGTTAGGACAGCCAAGGCTTAGAATTACAGGACCAGCCGGAGGAGGGGGGGGGGGACTGCAGGCTTCGACCCCCCAGGGAGGCTTCTAATGAGAGAAGGAAGAAGAAACTCACCAGTTAGCTGCCCACGCTTTTTATTGTGTTATTGCTTCACGTCAATAAAGGACAGCTTCTACTGTGGGCTTCAAATGCCTGCGACAGGCCCCAAGCTTAGCATTTTAACATACTGTGCTTTTGCCTCCTTGGAAACCATATCATTATTATTCATTACTTGTTATGATTATTTCAAACTGTGAAGACTGACATGTCAAGACATAAGAACCTTGTAAAATCTTGCTAATAATGAATTTAAGTGATTCAACTAATAGTTTCTTCAGATAAAATAATAGCAGTACTCACAATGACAACTTTCTTCTTTTAAGAATGTTTTGGGTTGTAGTGGTGCTGAAGCCTGCATTTCCTTTGGGGGCTCTATCTTTGGGGGAAGATATTGATGATTTCAAAGCTTTCCAATCTCAGCATATAGCACAAGAGGTGTGTGAGATAATCTATTTGGGGCTGTGTTCATTTTTGCCTAAAGCTTGCTTGCATTTAATATATGAATTGACATTGATGCCCACACATGGACAGCTGGGGCTCCCAAGTGTCCTGGAGGATGAATGGGAATTTTATGATAGGAGAAGGTATCAACATCCTGCTGGCCACTGATATGTGTCTGCGTCATGCGGATTTATAAATTTATTATCTAGCTTTAATTAGGTTAATACACACAAAATGTACAAATCTCTTAAGACTTCTGCAGAAAAGTTGTAGCTTGGAGCTAATATGAACAACAGCAGCACAAGGCAGCCCCAGGAAAATGCTGGAGCTGATGCTTTCTCCTGCTCCTGGCTATGAGTGCATCCTCACCCATGCGAAAAGGCAAAAACCTGGCCCTGGCTAGCATGGCTCAGTGGTCAGGGCGTCAGCCGGTGCACTCTAGGGTCCCGGGTTCAATTCCCAGCCAAGGTCATGTACCTGGGTTGCAGGTTTGATCTCCAGTCCTAGTTGGGGAGTGTGAGGGAAGAAACCCACCGATGTGTCTCCCTCACATCAATGTTTCTCTCTTCTCTCTTTCTCTCTCCCCTCCCCCCTCCCTTCCACTCTCTCTCTAAAACATCAATGTAAAAAATATCCTTGGGTGAAGATTAACAACAACAACAAAAAGGCAAAAATTGGGATGAACTAGTGAGATCTGACAAGAAGGTGACCAAAAAATTTAAATTATCAAGAGGACTACCAGAAATATGAATTTATATTTACTATGGTAAAGGCTGAACCTGGCCCCAAGTGTATATTTATGCTGGAACTGTCACTTAATGATCGTGTAAAGATAGAATAATTAGCTAATCACTTAAAATATCATTTCATCTTTACCTCATCCTTCAAACAGTTCTACTTTTTTGTGTTTTATAGAGTTCATAACATTGGTATAATACATAAAGTACTATTATTACATACAACATAGGTAAAGTACATTATATGATAAATGTGTATATACGTATTTTTATTTGGGGTGTGAGCTGAGAGGCTTACTTAATAGAGCTCCCTATAAAAAAATGTGGACAACATTGGTCTAATTTGTCATCTGTCAACAATACCTTTTAAAAATACATGTGGAACAGGAATGATTTAGAATACCTCTGATACTCTGTGCACTAGGGCTCAGGAGAGACCCCGCCAGAGGGGGAATGAGCCTCCGCTCTCGTTTCCATTGCTAAGGGCGGGGAGCCCACCCAGCTCGAAGCCTTATGCACCCAGCAGACAAGGACACGGTACCTTCTGCTTCTCCCTGTCGGTCATGGTTTGCTTGGAGCTTTCTACAAGGTGGAAAAGCGCTTCATGCTTCTTGGTACTCTCTATTAATTTCTTTTTGGCCTAGAGTCAAAAACATACAGAAAAGCAAAAAAAAAGCAGAAACTGATATCAAGAGAAAAGCTCTTCCGTCCTGGAACAAGTTAATGTTCACGGGCTAGCTTGTATGACTGCGTATTTTCAGGTCTTCGTTTCTGCTGTCACCTCAAAATTTGCCTGAAGTTTCACAACGGCTAATGTTTTGCCCTGAGAACCGCTGCACATTTTCATTACAGTGGGTACCCTCAAGGGGGTTATACATTTTACTCAATCACGGAAGGCCTGCAAGCCTCCAAAACATCCCTCTAACTAATACGAAGGAAGGGAATGGCTTTGCCTCAAAAAAGAGTAACACAGCCAGCACGGGAGGCTGCCTGCGTGATTCTTTTAAATCAGCCTGGGCCACAACTGAGGTTGTGTTAAGATGCTTTCTTAAAACTTACAGCAACGGGGAAATTTTGCTACCTGATGACCAGGCTTGAGAACTGGGCATTTGCCAGGCATCTAGTGACAAGCCTTTATTTGTGGGAAGAGGTGGGGTGAGGAGAGTTGGGAAGAAAGAAACATTCCAAGTTCCCCTATTCTGTCGAAGCCTCAAACCGCGGGGTAGGTCATGATTCAGGCGATCATTTTCTACTCTCCACAGTTCCAGTCTGGCAGGAAGGGATGCTCCAGAGAGGAAATAAACAGAATTCGGTTTGAGTTGGATTCAGCCTGTTTCAGAAACTGAGTTGATTGAAAGACTATTATCTTTGTTTTCAAATGACTGTGGCTTAGAGAGGTTATTTGTCCAAGCTATTTACATGGCTGGAAAATGGTAAAGCAGAACTTGGGACTTCAGCAATTTGGCTTAAGAGTCTATATATGTAACCTTATATCACAGCTGCCTTTTCAAGGACTTATGTGAAATAAAGTGAAAAAGTTAAAAGGAAAAAAAAAAAAAAGACTATGGTTTTTACCTCAAGGTTATAAGAACCATAAAGCCAGATAATGAAGGGAAAAGCTCAGGTCGCTCTTTCGTTCAGAATCAGAGGCAAAGGCTTCTGAAAGTCTCTAAATAGATGAAGTCTCTACAAAAGGGAATTCAAGGAGCAAGAAGCTCCTAGACCCTCTTCTTCCACCTTCAGTTGGTCACATGCCCGCAGATAAATGAGAGCGTGAGGCCAGAGATTTGGTTCTTTAAGGCTTTTCCTCTGTGTCTCCAGAACAGACTGCATGCACCTCATTACTGACATGCTGAATCCCTTGAATTGCAACTGGGGAGAGAATTACTATAGCTCAAGAATTTTATGTTCTCTAATTTCTCTGTCACTCTTCATAAAATATATAATCATCTTTATTTGAAAAATTTATTTGGTGAAAACTGAGAAATAATAAAAGATGTTTTCTGTTCTGGAAAGCAATTGCAGCTGCTGAGCATGGTTTCTCTCTTCTGGTCCATTATATTGGATTTCCCGTGGAAGCTGAATATTTAGAGAATGGATTTTTAAAAAACAAATTCTGTTTAAGAAAGCTTATAAAATCAAAGCAAAACTAAAAACTAATGGCTGAGAGCTGTTTATGAGAATGTTAAATATGTGTTACAAATGTGATTCTCATGAGCCTGCTTTTATCAGTGCTACTACTGTGGGTATAGAAATTCATTTATCTAAAACATTTCTTACTGTCTTTGTTCTCATGAAGTCTGAATTCAGCAGAAGCTTCAGTGACAAGAGGAGGGCTGCCATGGGGCTACCTGTTTCTGAGGGTGTCTCTGGTTATTTATATACATGGGTGGCTGTCTACGTTGGAAGGGACTTTTCGGGGTCTTGACACTTTGGAGATTAAAAAAAGGAGAATTTCAACTTTTGGAGCATAAGTCCTTTCAAAAAGAGTCCTTGGATTTTCTTGGTAGATTCACTCTCTAGTCCTTTCTACTCAAAATGAATTCTTCCTAAACTGGATTGTTCTAGAATAATCTTCTGTACATATATATGAGTTCCATCTGCTGTTCTCTCTGCTTAAGAACCTATAATGATATGCTCTAAATTCTCACACCAGATCATAATTCCTTTCCTTAGAATTCATTCACTGTTTCCTGCACATATGTTACCTATCAACTAAATTTAAAGTTACTTGGAAACAAGAGCCACATCTTAGTACAGTGCGGTGCGCAAGAAGCAGACCATGCATACTTGTGGACCCAATATTTACATGCACTTCCCTTTATGTATCCCTACCCAACCCTCACAGTGCTCCTCTCACTAGTGAGACCAACGCCCATCTACAAATGATAAAACCAAAACTCAGATAGTATTTGCCACTTACCCTAAGTTGCAAATTATACAGAGAGGCAGTCAGTGTAGTGAAATGATTAAGAGTAGTGACCCTGGAGCCCAACAACTTGTTACATTGTTGGTTCAAGCATTAACTAGCTTTGTAAAGGTTCTGCCCTAACTTGAGTTTGACTAAGGGCAAATTAGTTACCTCTCTGTATCTCAGTTTCCCCATCTTTAAGATGAGACAAAGCAAGGTCACATACCACAATGGGTTGCTGCAATGATTGAATGTATAGTATGTAACACTCGGCACACAGTAAGTGTTATGTAAGTGCTGGCTATAAATCACAACTATATTTAGAGCCTTGCTCTTCCATTGTTGAATTGAAAGATACAGCTATATAATTTCTCAGGTGAGTAAGCATTTTTCTGTTCAGTTAGCACTTAGAAATACTAACATTAAAACACATTTCCATATTTGCGCAAAAGCAAAAAACTTCAATCCTAAAAACTGAGTTCACACAGAAGATATTTGTGTTACTCACCTTAATTTGTTGATTCCAGTTGCTAATGAAAAGATTTGCTGTCTTTTCAACTTCGTTATTAAGCTATTGAAGAAAAAAATAGAAAAAAATTATTTTTTGCTGTCTTCTTGTTGAGTCACGGTGCTGTCTTATAAGTTGTAGCACAATCACGATTGCAATTCATAGAAACTTCAAAATCCTACAGTGGACATGGTTCCTGAGAAAAGTAGCCAAACTATTTTTTCCCCTGTCGAGGAGGCTCTTGACAGAATTTAGCTTGAATGCATATGGTAAAACAATTATGTCTAACATATAACTACATGAAAACAACATACATGTGTGCAGTCCGTGTGGGTGAGGCTCTTGCATAGTCTGGTGTTACATCCACCCCATCCCTTCTTCTTCCACATTGTACCGTGTGGCCCAAACTTTAACACCATGAGAATCTGTATCAGCCCAAGCAGTGCCAACTTTACTGAGTCTCATTGCCTCTGAAGTGAATATTGTTTTAACTTCAAAGAGATTGAATTCTTATTCATAATTAACTTTTTCTCCTAGTTTAAACGGCCAAACAGGACAGTGATAGTAATGACAAAACTGGGTCCAGGCAACCCCCCCAGGAGGTCAAACTTGAGTTAAGGCGGAGCCTTTGTTCCTGGACCAGTGACCTCTTCCCCAGGCCCACAGATCAGCCACATTCAACCACCTGGAGATTTAGCAACATTGCATTTTGATTTTTTCCAGTTGATTAAATTTGGAATATATGCTTTACTGTAACAAATACAATGAAAATAACTTCATGCTTTATGCCATGTTTTACGCTCTGTATGTGGCTGAAGTGTGAAAGCAGTTCACTTTATTTTTAAAAATTCTAATTTTCTATCTTTTGTGTGAGAGTGGGAGGGGTGTCAGAGGTGCAGCAGGAAGGGGCAAAGCTGAAAAGATGTCAAACTGGAACCGTAGTTTGGAGGTTCATGACATTAATTATCTAAGGCACGGTTATAATGATCATAGCACTGTGACTAATTTATGGTAAGTACTAAGGAAACGCTAGTAATGATCATATTATAATGTGGTGTAAAAAATATTTATTCGTTAATAAAATATAGATTTGTGTTTGGATTTTATTAAGTTGATTTACAAAGGTGATGATTATATTGCTTTCTAGTAATTACTGCAAATTTCCTCCACCACCCTAGCCCTCAGTGGAACATTCATTCTGCTAAAAACACACGTATGTGTCCACACAAACATCAATTCCATTTCCTGAGTGACTTTAATGAATTTGAATAAATTTTTACAAATCCCCTCATCCTTCTGACTTACTACCTTTCAAACCTGCTTTATCTGGCTGTGATCACTTGAAATTCCCTTTAGCCACTGCCCCTTCCCTTCACAAGGATCCCCTTTACTGCTTCAGAATTTCTTACCAGCACCTGGTCTTGAAATAGTGACCCTGATCCTCCCCTATCAGAACTAAGCAGCTTTTATGAAACACCCCTTAGGTTGTCCGAAAATATATCTGAAAGTGCTTAACAACTGCATGACACACAAAAAGAAAAATGATCACAGATGAAACTGTCCTGGCAGAAAAGCTACACAAATTTCTGAAACCTAGTATCACTTTCAGGTCACCTTTTACTCCTTGAGCCAAAGACAGAAATCTTGCTTAAACAGGGGAGAAAGAAAGATTTTTGACTCACTGATTTTCTCTTCTTCTCGTGTACACTCAGGACTTGATGAGTTGGTTTTACTGCTTCCAACTCAATTGCTTTGCCAAGTTTTCTGGAAATGGAGCATAAGAAACACACAAGTGTAGTATTAGGATTTATATCTACTTTCCAAATTATTTTCTGGGGAAATAAAATGGTGTGTTATGGCAAGTTTGAAGAGGAGTATTGGAGCACACCCACATTAAATATTTACGACTCCCTTTGGGGTAGGAGCAAGGCTGGGGCGGGAGCACTCACTGGTGCAGGTCTGCTGCAGATTTCATGCCCTCTGAGACCCAGGCCCAGGCACTGACGACACCACTGGAGACAAAAACAAGGGGGAGAAGGGTGCATCATTTTCCCAAAAAGCCTGATTCATTGCTTTCAGCAACTGCACTCATATCCCTAATCATATTTCAATTTCTCCATGGGACTAAATGCTGCCAACATATTTATTTGCACTATACTCATTACAGAAACTGCTATTTTTCAGTCATTTGTCATTGTGATTTTCATTTTCTATCTCATGTCTGTAGAAGATTGGGAAATAAAGTAGCCAAGGCTGAGAAGGCATTTAGAAGACACAGGAGACAGCATACGAGGGGCAGAAGGCCCTTGTGGACAATCTTTTCAGGCTCCTTATTTCACAGATGATAAACGAGGCTCAGAGAAGTTAAGTGACTGCAGATTCGAGAGCCCTGATCATGTCCTGCGTGCTGTTCTTGGGGTCGGGGTGTAGATCCTGTTCCCTGTTGGCTTTTAGGACAACAGCTCAGGTATTTTACGGTCTGTGAGCAGTATCACAATTTAACAAAAGGATAACACTGCCCTGTCCTCAGCAGCACAGAGGGAGGATTAGGAAGTGTGATGCTGTTTTCTCCTATGGAAGGGGCATAGCTCATAGCAGCCTTCACAAGGCAGGACAATAAGTCCAGTTGCATCAGTAACCTCAGGTACAGAGGCCTCTGTGTACTTTGATGCCGGGGGAGGGGACAGGTCGGTGCCCTTACTGAAACCAGGATGGTGCAGTGGTTTTGCTTCAAATGACTTAGGTTGCATCCAATAGTTAGATAATGGGAGAACTAGATCTAAGGATGCCAGATTTTCTGCATACCCAAAGCCAGGCACAAAACCAGGCCCAAGACAGTACCTACTGTATGCTTGCAATTATAGGAAATTCCAGAAAAGACAGAATGAATATGCATATCGACGGGAAGCAGATCAGTGGTTGCTCGGGACTGGGTGGGAGGGGGATTGCACACAGGCATGAGGGATCTTTTGTGTGATGAAAAGGTCTCCGTGTTGATTTTCGTGGTGGCTACACAGTGTAACATACATCAAAATCCACCAAACCATCTGCTTAAAATGGATGCTTATTATTGCAGGTAAGTTAAACCTCAATTGAGTTGATATTTTTTTAAAAAATGAAGCCATGCCCTGACTCGTGTGGCTCGGTTGGTTGGGCATCGAGAGGTTGCTGGTTTGATTCCTGGTCAGGGCAAATGCCCAGGTTGCGGGTTCAGTCCTTGGTGCGGGGTGTACAGGAGGCAGCCGATTCATTTTCCCTTTCACATTGATGCCCCTCTCTCTCCCTCTCCCTTCCTCACTCTTTCTAAAAATCAATAAACTATTCTTAATAATAATAATAAATAATAATAAAAAAAATAATAATAAAAAGGAACACAGCCCTGGCTGGGTGGCTCTGTTGGAGCACTGTCCCTTACACTAAAGGTGGTGGGTTCGATTCCTGGTCAGGGCACATACCTAGGTTGAGGGTTCAGTCCCTGGTGGAGGCATGTATGGGAGGCAACCGATCGATGTTTCTCCCTCTCTCTCTCTCAAATCAATAAAAAGATATCCTCGAGTGAGGATTAAAAAAAAAAGGAAGCTAGGCACACTTTTGCCCCTCACAGGAGCAGGCAACGGAGCAGGAAGCCGAGGGCGCTGGCTCAGGGGGGTCTGCGTCTGAGTTCACATGTTCCCCACTGTTTCCCATATGAGCTTGGAGGGATCACTTGATTTCTCTGACCCTCACTTAATTGGACTTTTAAAATAAAAATAATTAAGGTTATTTATATAGGTACCTACCACAGATTTGGGTATAGACAAAAGTTCAATTAATGTTTATTATTAAATATTATTGTGCCAATCCCGGTTAACCAAACATTCTGAACGTGCCAGCTCTCTGGGAGCACCACGCTGGATCCTAGGGCTGCAACGCGATACGGCACACACCCCTGCTCTCATTCTTTAAAAGGTAATTATTATCTTTCCTTTTTTTTTTTTTTTTTAATCCTCACCTGAAGATATATTTTTTCCGTTGTTTTTCAGAGAGAGTGGAAGGGATAGAGAGAGGGAGAGAGAAACATTGACGTGAGAGAGACACATCATTGGTTGCCTCCCGCATGCGCCCGACTGAGCCGGGGATCGAGCCTGTAACCGAGGTACGTGCCCTTGGCCAGAATCGAACCTGGGACCCATCAGTCCTTGGGCCGATGCTCTAACCACTGAGCCAAACCAGCTAGGGCTATTTTTCCTTTTTATTGAATTTATTGGGGTCACACTGTTTAACAAAATTATACAGGTTTCAGGTGCACAATTCCACACCACATCACCTGTGCACTGTTTTGTATGTTCGCCACGCCAAGTTAAGTCCATCACCATTTATATCCCTATACCCTTCTCCATCTCCCCGCATGTAGGAGATAATTCGAATCAAAACCATAATGAACACTTACAGGACTTTGCCTCTGTCCCAGGTAGTAAGCACGCTTTTTGTATTATCTCATTTAATTCTCACAGCAATTATGTGAGATAGGTTTTATTTCCACTTTATTTCCACTTTAAATAGACCCTGAGAAGTAAGATAAATTTTCCTAATTCACCTACCTGGTAAGTGGTAGAGCTGGAATTTAAACCCGGGCAGTCTAAATAAAGTCTCTACTCAACCACTGTGCTAGTCTCCTTCGTAGTCTACTAAAATACCATCCTAAAAATCAAGTTAAAAGTCAGAGCAATTCAAAGTCAGTATTTGCAGTTACAGATGATGCCTAAGGAGGAATAAGAATATGAGCTCCCCAAACCGTCTTTTTTTATTTTCCTCTCATTCACCATCACAAGAGGCTTTTGCGACAGCATTGCCCGTTTAGCCTGCCATCTGCAAGCAAGAGTTAAGAGTCTTCATAATAAATATAACCAGTGGACCATTTTTAGAATACCAATATTGAGGAAGATGTGAACCAACGTTTTTTCAGCATCCAATGTTCTAATCTCTTTCCATACATTTTCTCATTAAATATGCACCCCCCATACACACCTATATACACACACATAGTGGAGAATACACCATTACTTCACCTAACAGTAGAGGAAATGAAGGCACAGAGATGCCAGGTTATTTGTTGAAATAAAGCAGGATTCACACTTTTTTGACTCCAAGACATTCCAACTTAACAACATTGCTTTCCAAGTTAACCGTCACCACCGAGACCTATTACATATATGGGCTTAGGAGTCATAAAGGCATGGGATGAATGCAGCTCTGCAACTCGTAATCTGTGTGATTGGGGAAATGTTTTAAACCCTCCAAGACTCAAGACTTTGTCTGTAATAGGGACCATAATAAAACTTCTTAGGGGTTTTGAGGATTAAGTGAGAGTATCTATAAAAGCATTTAACACAATGTGTCGCACATAGTAAGTGCCCAAGACCCGGAAGCCATGCTTGACATGATGTACCTGCCACCTTTATAACAGGAAGCTGGAACTGAACAAATGACACTGTTTATTATATTTAAAAATTATTTTACCTTACCTCTTTTTCATATACTTACTTTTTCTTTGTGTTCTGTAATGCTTTGTTCAGCTTAATCGCCTGTTTCTGAAGTCCTTTGGCATAGTTAAACTCCAAGTTTGCCCTGTTAGCAAAGGGGTAGTTAGGATGCGCTGTCCAAAAATCAAGCAACACCTCTACCCCCCCCCCCACATACATACGAAGGAAGTAATTCATCCTACATTAGGGGTTTTATGATAATGAAAATATGGCAATAACCCAAGTTTAGGAGGGACTCAAAGACTGGAACGATTGCTATTGACCTGCATGATCTGACCCTTGGTTCCCTCTCTGATTTCCTCTCCTACAAGTTTTCCCCTTGCTCTCTGTGCTCTGCTAGTGACCAAATGCCATTCGGCCTCTGGGCCTTTGCATTTGCTATGGCCTTTGCTGGCTACTCCTTTTGCTGTATAATCATATGGCATTCTCCTTCAAGTGAACACCAACAGGACTTGTTCAAACATTACTACCTCAGAGCCTATCCCTATCTAAAAGAGCATCCTTGTTACTATCCCCTTACAGCTTTTATTTATTTCCTAGAACTCATCACTATCTTAATCACATATTTTTTCAGTGTACTTCTATGACCACGCCTAGAATGTAAGCCCCATGAGGGTCTAGAATTTGTTTTGTTCATTGCTATATATCTAGGCCTAGAACAATGCTTGGCACATAATAGGTGGTTGGTTTGTGTGTAAATGAATGAATGATGAACTTTCCATCAGGTCTTGGTTAGAATTTTTAATTAGTTTCTGCTCCAAGTCTGTTCTCACCTCACCTCTCTCAAAAACTTAAAATTGCCAAGCTATTTAGATGTATTAGTACAAGTTTGAGCTGTGCTCAGCCCTGATAACAGAGTACACAGCTTTTTAGCACTTAGAATAACTAGACATACAAACCCTTTCCTAGCCTAGTGCTAACCAGAGGCTTTTTTAGGACGTTCCTTCCCAGCATTCTTTCTTGGAAGCAGCACATAGAGCATTAAATATGAGGAAGCATCTCACAGCTGAGCACCAAATTCCTAATGAATATTAATTTTTAAAATATGATTATTATTATGTACCCCAAAGGATCTCTAAACATCCAGAACACCCCAGATAAACAGCAGGGGTGTGTGGGGAAAAGAACCACAGTTTGCACATCCATCGGCTCCAGCACAATTTCGAGAGCCTCCCAACAGGGAAGGTTAACGCTGTCAGGCACAGCCTCCTCCTCGGAATTCAGTTTCACTTTTAGAATGTTCTTGCAGTTCGTACAACGTGTCCTAGAGGCTAAGCAGACATAAAAAGAACAATACCCAGAAGGAAGTGCTTTTTTCCTTTAAATCACTAACTTAATCAGATCCGCCTGGGGGGAAATGTTGGGCTTTGGTGGCAGAAAAGGGAGAGGGTCCTGCTCACTTTGAAGCTCTTGCTCTTCTGCTTTGAGCCTGGCCACCTTTACCCCTGAGCTTCAACACTTATTGGGCACTTACAACATGCCAGGCACCATTCTAAGTGTTTTAGGTGTGTTGTATCATTTAATCCTTGATAACTCCCATGAGGTACGCACTCTTACTCTATCCATTTCCTGGAGAGGAACAGCAAGGCACGGTTTAGTCAGTAACTTGCCAGAGGTCACTCATGAAGAAGTGACAGAGCTGGGATTCAATCCTGGGCAGGCAGGATTCAAACCTGCCTCCTTGGCCGCTCCAGTCCCCTCTGAAACTGGGGAAGAGGCTGGAGATGGAGAATGGCGGGGCAAGTCAAAGGTAAGTACTTTTAAAGATTGATGCCGCCTCTCACTTTGCCTTTAATTGCTGAGTTTCTGAATCGCCTCGTGGCTCAGCAGCCTCAGTGCAGACAATGAGTTTCGGGGGCTTCTCCCAACAACACTGGAGCTGCTGTTAACGTGTGTTCCCAAATGGGGAGGAGGAGGTGTTAAGGGCCCGGAAAATGGAGAGGGAGGGATCTATGACATCAACTGTCACCAACTTAGCCTTCTGGGTGGGACTGAGTTGGACGGCTTCTCTGAATGTCACTATTTATTGCATCCTCTGTCCACCTTCGATATAGTAAAGGGTTTTATGATTAGCATTCAAACTGATCAAGCAAAGCAGGCTGTAATAATCTCCTCTTGCATTTTAAATCCTCATGACCATTTCACAATCCTCAGCAGATTACCCCGCCCGTCAGAGGGATGGAAAGGAACTGGGGTG